CGTGCTGCTCATCCGCTGTTTGTGCCTTCCGTGCTTGCCAGTTGTGTGCCCTATAGGTTAGTTGCCTTGTTGCTGGTGCCTTGTGCTCCGCTCCACGGTTGTTGACCTGCTGGTCCGTTCGCCTTATCGTCCTCTGCAGTGTTGTTGCCTTGTTCGTGTTGTCTTGTACTTCACTATACGGTTGCCGCGCTGCATGCCTTGCATGCCATGTCATTCCTTGTAGTTGTTTTGGCGTTGTACAGCTGTGTTGCCTCTACTGTGTTGCCTGGTGCTCCACAGGGTTGCGGCCCGCTGCTATGTTCCGCTTGGGGACAGTCTGCCTTTAACAAGGGTCAAAGGGTTCATGACCCAAACCATCAAATATGGAGATTTCGCAGATTGTCGAGGGTTCAACCTCCTGATGAGCCAGTGCAACTCCGACGAAACAATCTTGTCATCATCGTTTTTTTATTTTTTATTTTTTTCGGTCTTCGTTGTTTTGGGGGACTTGTATTTTTGTTGTCCATGCTTTTTGTGGTTGAGTGACGTCTGCCCTCCCACCTCCCCCGTGCCTTCCACCCATTGTCTTTTGTCGCTGCCTAATGGCTTATGCTTGGGGTATTTTTCTGTAATTGCACTTTTTTTTTGTCTTTCCTTGTTTTTTGCATTTATGTATGGTCTACCCTCCCACCTCCCCTGTGTCCCCCAGTCCTTGTGCCTTTTTCCAGTTTGTTGTCGTTGCCTCCTTGCCTTTTGTTTTGCCTTTGTGCTTCCTTTCCCCGTCTTATGGTGTCTGTTTGATCGTGTGTGTTGTAGTTCACCCGCAAAGTGCAGTGGGAGCATAGATGCTCGTGTAGTCCGACATAGTCATTCCCCACCTTACAGTATAGGTTTTGTTTGCACCACGCCTACAAGTTCTTGTTCCTGAGCTTGCTCGTGTAGTCCGACATAGTCAGTCCCCACCTCCAAGTACCGGATGCGCCTGCACCACGCCTACAAGTTTTCATTCTTAAGGTGCGCTGATATATTATTTCAGAGCTTGATTATGATGCGGTTTCCGTATCATACCGTAATCATGTCTTATTATGCGGGTTACACACTTACACACATACAGGTGGAGGGATCCTCCCCATAGCGCTGCTGGTGGTGTGTCCCACCAACCGTACCTTAGAGAGTTTTTAAAGCCACATGGGGTGGTGATGTAGGGGATACGTGGGGGCTTGCAGATGATTCGTGGGAGTACGGAAAGGAGCAATGCGTGCTATGCAGATCCTTGATATCTGAGGAGAGGTACCTATTATCATATTTGTACATCAACCTTGGGTACTTCGGTTGTTTTTCTCCTTTATATGCTTTCTATGCGAGGGAGCGTTCTGCTGTTTTATCTTTTTGTTTTTGTGTTGTCTTCCTTGTCATGTCTTTCGACGCATTTTTGTTTGTCCAAAAAATCTAAGAAAATATGTCGAACTGTGTTGTCCGTACAATTTTTGCCGAAGACCAGAATCGTCGAACATGTTGTCTTCCAGGGGTATCCCAACAATTTAAGTTCAATCCAATATAATTCTAGAACGGCGGATAAGTCATTCATGTCGTATGTGTAAGTTACCATTCTATGGCAAGAGTCGATGATTGTCAGTACTTTCGTATTCACGAAACCAACATTTCTGAAATAACGGATAGACCGAAGAGAGAGAGAGTTCAACAACCCCTCCCAGAGTGTAGCTTCATTCAGGGGTTCGTGATCTATCTTTGTGATTTTTGTCTCTAAGTAATTCCATTTTTTACTATGCATATCTTATGTGGATTCCAATTTTAGCGAAGAGTGATAACAGCTTGTGAATGAATTGAGACATACTTCTTCATTTTTCATATTGGTTCGATTTGCGATAATTACAATCATTACATCATCGACGAATCTCATCCCATGAAGGAGTTTCTGATCTATATTGATTTGAGATCGCCATTTTTATTCATCGTAAGCGCAAACCATGTTTGCGATCGGTGGACTAGATCCTTTTCCCATGGGTACGCCTTTGACTTGTCGAAGCAATGTGCCTTGTGCTTTGAAGTACGCATGTTGAATATAGAAGTATAGTAGGTTACATAATATCTCAATTTTCACTGTTTTCCATCCATATATTCCATTTGCTTTTTCAAAATTGATGTATTTTCCTCTCATTTTGTAGCATAGATGAGTTTTTCGTTTCTCTTGCTATACTTAGTATCCACTGTACGACGTTCATGATATGTGTGTGATCCAGGTTGGATAACATATCTTTCACGTTGTAAGTTGAACATAGCACGGTGGCCTCCTGTCCATATGTGAGTGTTGCCGTTTTGTTGCATTCTTCCAGTCTCGGAACCAGTTGGTTTTTACCCTATAGATCGAATCATAATTGCCACATTTTACGTAAAACCAACATACTTAAAATAGTCTTACAAAAAAAAACACTTCCCCCACCGCCAATGTACATACTTTAATTAGACATAAACATCCTCGCAAAGCTATCACCAAAAAGCCTCATTCCATCTTGCAATATCTTATCAACTCCTCGCACATATCCCCCATACACAGTTAACAAACACATAATCCATTTTTTCTATCCGGTCACTCCCTATGCGAACTCTGTTGAGAGAGAGCACTTAAGCAAATACCATTTCAATCGATTGTCTGAGCTATCCATTGTAGATCCCTCCGCCTCTCTTCTATCTTTAAAAAGTTCAACTTTGTGAGCGGTACAACCATCATCAGGGTATAAAATTATAAATTAGTATACGTCATAAATGAAACTCGAACAACACTGAGATCAATCACGAATCGATATAACCATCCTCGTTCACAATTGCAGTCACCACAACGGGACGATAACGACTCCGCTAACGCATATACCGCTTCTATGAGCCTCTGCTCATGTTCTTTGTTGATCATTGCAAGAGCATCCAACTCCTCCATCATATTTTTGGCATCCTTTTTAAGTTTATCTGACGATGTTGTCGCCATCACATTTCCAACCACCTTCCTCAACCAATAAATATGTTCGCATTGTTCGGTATAATGTTGATACATGAATGAACAATTTATTTGATTTCACATACGACTCTCTGAGATTAACAATTGTTGCCTTCAATAGACTATATTGCTAACAACGTATTTCATTGCATTTTGCACTTCCAACATCATATTCCCATGTATAGGTTTGAAAGCAATAATTTTCATCCTGCGTACCATATCAATCATACAACTTTTACCTAGGCACATGATAATTTCCTCAGAGGGAAAACGACAGACATAAAAGATGCATCACCGATTGGAAGTCCACAACATATCGGAAGTCTCTTCAACTAAGTTTCTCTCAATGCCAAACGGTCATGCAGATCATAACGCTCTCTGCTAAGGTGCGGACCCACTTGGGTCTTGTATTTAACAATCTCATCTCCCAATGCATGTCGATGGCATGACCATAACTTTCCATGAAGCTTCATTCTCACTGAGAAAAGCCATGTGACAACATTTAGTCTATCTCTTTGAATCAACAACACAACGTGTTTTACCTTGGGTTCAATCCGCTCAATGTTGACACGACACATTCAAAAAGTTAGGTTTATTTCACTTCCATCAAATAAATTGTTGACGAGTTTTGCCGACGTCGCCTGAACTTCATATAATGCCGCCTTCAAAGCATCAATTTCCATCAGTCGCTTGCGCAACAGACCCAACAACTCATCCTGACTCCAACAAAGCCCCTCACTATCACTGAAATACCTACCACATAACCTCTTCATTTCATCATCACTTGGAATCTTACTTAACATACCATATTCCACGGTAGAATCACTCTCACACCTACGTTGTTCCCTCTTGTCATTCTCTGCCTCGACACCATAACTAAACACCGGACAATCTTCGAGATATTGATCCACTCTCCGATCCAATATCATATGCTCCAAAGCAGCCTCCGAATCGTTTCCTAAACCGGACTCCTACTGAAGACCAACAGAATGTGATGTCCTCCAACACGATGCAAATCTTCATATTCACCAACAATTCACCAATAAATTGAACTTGTCGGACATTCACTCCTTACGTATCACAATCCCCAACGATTACTTGACCCAAAGCTATATATGAACATGACGATTTCAACCTAGGTAGATTGGCATGTCCAACCAGATTAACTGTCCGTCCTATGCGGCCGGAACATCCAGGGGGAAAAAGGTTTATCTGGAATTTCCGGATAAATTACGGATAATAAAAAATTAAAAATTAAATTACCTGAAAGAACGCCGAGTGTGGAATTTTTGCGCCCGTGACGACCAGTAAGCGCTAAAGCTAGCGACACGGTCAGGGTATGGCCGAACGCCCGTCGTTTCGATTGCATCCCAGCGTTGAGCGAAGGTACCGCCATAGCTGGGTGACGCAAAGGGAGTTCCTCAACTGAGTGGCCTTTCTCGATGAGGGGAGGCGACAAGCGGATGAATTAAACACGAATACCTGCAAGGTATCAAGCATCTTGGAAGTAACTAAGGTCGAAGTGTCTGCCGACCAAAGAGACAGCGTACGAAAAATTTAACGCTCAGAGGGCGAGTGGTAATTGGAGAGAATCAGCATCGGCATAGAAGGCAACGAAGTCGACACTAACTCCGCCCATCCAAGCCATTCCCCCCCATCCATTCTGGTCCCCCTCCGGACTTTACCAAACCCGCTCCATCCGGACCCTGCTCCACCACGATCCTGCTCCATCCCGACCCCTCTCCCATCCTCGTTCGTCCCTATTTAGACCCCTTTCCTATCCCGAGTCCGTCCCTTCCCCTTCCGGATCCTGTCTCCATCCCAACTCTTCTTCTTCCCCATCCAGATCCCGTTCCCACCCCGAGCCGGTTCCTCCCTAACCCTGCCCCATCCAGATCCCGCTCCACCCCGATACTGTTTCTATCGGTTCCAACCCCACCCAGATCCCGATCCCATCCCGAGTTCGTTATATCCCCATCCAGATCCCGCCCCCATTCGGATCCCTCCCCGTTTCTGTCTAGATCCCGCTCCAACCTCGAGCCTGTCCCTTCCCAGTTCAGACCGCTGACCCTTGTGGTTCCGCTCCCAGCTCCACACCTATTCGGATCTGTCCAATCCCGCTCCACCCCAATCCTGCTCCACCCCGACCTTGTTCCTATCCCGATCCACCCCACCCAGATTCTGATCGCATCCTAAGTCCGCTCCATCCCCATCCGTTCTCATTCCTTTCCCTGTCCCTCTCCGGCCCCGTCCAGATCTTGTACCCGTTCCATCTAATTCCATATCCCCTCCTCTCGGTACCCTATCCCACCCCCATTCCCAGTAAGACCCATCCGATCTCGATCCCACCTCGTTCTTATCCCGTGCTCGACTCCGTCCCCAGGTTGTTCCATCCTCCCGACCTCGAGCCAACCTCCATCCAGTACCGTTTCCATTCCCATCCCAATCCTCGTCGGATCCAGACCTTTCCAATGTTGCTCCCGCTCCCGCCTCAATTCCACCCCATTTCTGTCTGTCCGTGATCCCCGTTCTGCGTCTCCACTCCGTTCCCACTCCGCTCCCACCCGCTCCTGTTCTGTCCCCAATCCATCTCCAACCGACCCGTCTCGATCCCATTCCGTCCCCCACGTACTCCCTTCTCATTCTGATTCGGCTTCCTCCCAATCCCGTCTTTTCCCACTCTGCCCTCCCCCCACTCTGCCCTCACCCGAGCCAATCTTTTGCAATCCCAACCCGATCTCCTCAAAGCCTTCTCCGAATCTCTAGCCACATGGTCCCATCCCGACTCTACTTCTCCTCCCCATACCCAATCGCAGCCCGATCTCTCAACTGTTTCCCGGCTGGTTACTAATCCTGGTCCACACCTTCACTCCCCTTTCCCCGTTCCTCCCCACTTTCGCCTTTCATTCGCCTCTTCTTCCCATTCTCTCACTTACCCGCCCATTTTTTTTTTAGTGTCGAAAGTCCCCTTTCCCCTCTCGTCAGGGTTGTTCTCATAATCTTAGTACCTGACTTTTGTTGACTCCTTCCCTCCTCCCCATACCCGATCCCATCCCATTCTCCTAATGCTCCCTGCTGGGTACCAACCAGGGTCCTCACTTGTACCTTCTCCTTCCCGTTCCCCCCCACCCCTCTTGCTCGTGCGCATTTTATTCCTTGACTCCCACTGACACGTGCTGCCCCGTCTTCCTCCTTCACTAGTCTCCTCCTCCTCGGCTCCCCTTGTTGTGGTTTTCTTCAGCCTCTCTTGACCGTCCCCTTTGACAACCTTTAGTCAACTTAGTACACTACAGCTGAGTCGAAGCTTAACGTTATTGTCTTCAAAAGAATAGAGGAATAAAACAAGTGTTTTAGGCTTACCAAGAGAGGAGAATGGCCACCCCGTCTCAAAGCACGAACACCTCGGCCCAGGGCCCTGGAGAGGGTGGTCAAGGTGATCGATAACGAAGCACTTAAATTCCTAATCGAGAAGACAAGAGTGCATGGGATTCAAACCACCGAAATGCAAAGAACTGATGATAAGGATGAAGAGGTCATTGTGTGGAAATACCCAGAGGAAAAGGTGGCGGAGTTGGACGATCTGCATGAAAGACATCGAGTGGTATTTAACTTTGCACGCCACGGGGCAGAGCTCCAACCGGCGGAGAAGAGGAAATGGGTCATAAACACTATCAGGAAGGAACCGAGACTCAAAGAAATTGGGGAATCCTTCTCTCTGCAAAATCTGGGTCATAATAACGTCATGGTACTTTTCATTCACGAAGACCACGCACGAATCGCAGTCGAAATGCAGTCTAGAAATTGCAACGGGTCGGTGTGACAAGTGTGTACGATCACGAAATGGAAGGAATTAACTGCGCAAAGACAGAACTATGTCTTCTCAGTATCCTACAAATAGACCCTGTTGAAAGAAAAATTATGGGTCCAGTGTATACGGCCGTACGAATACGGGCCGTACGTACTCCCGTACGACCGTACTTACGAGCCCCGGCCCCCGGTACGGGTCGTACGTACGGACTTTGGGCCCTCCGTACGCAGCCTTCCGGAGGGGTGTTGAGGGGGTGGATGGGCCGGGGGGGGGGTCGGATGTCGGGGGGTACCCCCTCCCATTCAATTTTTTTTTTTTTTCCTGTCCCG